GAGCGGCCACTGCACTCCAGTCTGGGCGATAGAGTGAGATTCCAACTCAAAAAAAAAAAATAATAATAATAATAGTTTTTATAGAGATGCAGTCTCACTATATTGCCCAGGCTGGTCTCGAACTCTGCGGCTCAAGTGATTCTCCCACCTCAGCCTCCTAAAGTCTGAGTAAGTTTCTTGGTCAGCCTCCCCCCGACACATGCTGCTGCTCTTTAGAAGCCAATTCCAGGCTGGGCTCGGTGGCTCAGCCTGTAATCCCACGCCTTTGGGAGGCTGAGGTGAGTGGATTGCCTGAGCCCGCGGGTTCGAGACCCACCTGGGCAGGTGAGACCTCATCTCTACAATAAATAAAAAAATCAGCCGGGAGTGGTAGCGCGTGCCTGTAATTCCGGCTACTCAGAAGGCTGAGGTGAAAGGATCCCCGGAGCCCAGCAGGTCGAGGCTGCGGTGGCCGGGAGCGGCCACTGCACTCCAGTCTGGGTGACAGAGTGAGACTCCAACTCAAAAAAACCCAAAACATTTTGTTATTAGTGCTTGAGACAGGGTCTTGCTCTGTCACCCAGGCTGGAGTGCAGTGGTGGATCATAGCTCACTGCAGCCTTGAACTCCTGAGCTCCAGTGATCCTCCCGCCTCAGCCTCCCAAGTAGCTGGGACAACAGGCGTGCATCATCACACCTGGCTACTTTTTTAAATTTACTTTTTGCAGAGATGGGGGTCTTCCTGTGTTACCCAGGCTGGTCTCAAGCGATCTTCTCACCTCAGCCTCCCAACCAAAATGCTGGGATTACAGGTGTGAGCCTCCATGCCCGGCCTAAATATGAATTATTACTTTCTTCTTATGGCTAAAGCACACTGCCAAGGGACACAGCCAGAGCCCCGGGAGTGAGGGTCAAGGGCAGAATGCTATAAGACAAAAGCCTTTCCATCCAGATATATGAAGAAGGTGAGGCCGGGTGTGGTGGTTCACACCTGTAATCCCAGCACTTTGGGAGGTGGAGGCAAGAGGGTGACTTGAGTCCAGGAGTGCGAGACCAGCCTGGGCAACTTGGTGAGACCTCATCTCTACAAAAAAAATCAAAAAAAGCAGCCAGGCATGGTAGCGTGCACCTGTAGTCCCAGCTACTCAGGAGGCCGCAGAAGGAGGATCACCTGGGCCCAGGAGGTTGAGGCTGGGGTGAACTGTGATCATGCCATGGCACTGCAACCTGAGTAACAGAGTGACACCTCGACTCAAAAAAAAAAAAAAAAAAAAAAAAATCAGGTTCGGTGGCTCAACCTGTAATTCCAGCACTTTGGGAAGCCAAGGCGAGTGGATTGCCTGAGCCTGAGGGTTCAAGACCCGCCCAGGCAACTTGGCGAGACCTCATCTCTATAATAAATTAAAAAAGAAAACTAGCTGGGCGTGGTAGCGTGCGCTTGTAGTTCCAACCACTTGGAAGGCTGAGGCGGAAGGCTCACTGGAGCCCGGCAGGTCGAGGCTGCCGTGACTGGGAGTGTGTGGCAGCACTCCAGCCTGGGCGACCGAGTGAGACTCCAACTCAAAAAAAGAGAGACAAAGATATTTTGAATTGAGCCCACTTCTGGGCTCTGAAATCCCCTGCGGAAAGGGGAATGAGAAGCACCATTAAGCAGAAGAGTTTTCTGGAGGACCCAAAACAGGGCTCTATGCATCGAGGGGAGAAACAAGCCCTATTGTGGCACCCAAGTGACCCTCCCAGGCCTGCTTTCCCCAGGACCTGGGCGCAGGTGGAGAGTATGGGCTCAGCCAGAAAAAGCTCAGGGGCAGCTCTTTTGTTTATCCAACCGCTCCTGGCCCGCTGGCTGTAGGACCTGCTGAGGCCGTGGCAGGTGCCCTGGGAGCATCACCCACCCGGGACGCTCTCTTGAGTCCTCCGGGTGCTCCCGGCCGCGGCCGGCAGCCGCCGTGGCCGGAGAGATCCTCGGCTCCTTGTCCTACAGCGCCACCCGCTGGCGTGTCTGAGTCAGAGGCCGCGAAGGCTCCCTGCCCTTCCCTCCCACAGTTGAGTGGGTTCTTCCCTCCTCATTAATTACTTGTGGCTGCCCAAAGCCCCAGGTGTCGTTCTGGTCAGATTCCACGTGCTTGGGTATCCCGTCACATCGGCCAAACCCCGGTCCTCTCTTGAGCTGACCCTGGCTCTACCTACAACAACCTACCCTAATTTATAACCCAGGATAGAGTCCCCAAGAGGTCCCGCCTGGAGGGGCCTTGGAAAGCATCTTGTTCATGTCCCTCCACTGCCATTCTTCCAATTTCTCGGATGGGAAGTAGACGTGGAAGGAAGCCCGATCCACTCTGGGAGAGTACGCTGTCCCAGGCTGGTGATGTATACACTGCGCGTCCCAGAGCCCATTCCCAAAACCACTTCTCAACTCCAGATGGATGGAAACGGGCCGAGCTTAGCTTTCCACCCCAAGTCTCTCCAATCATACACCAATAAATGTTGTGTGAGAGCCGGTGTGCCGGCTCATGCCTATAATCCCAGCACTGTGGGAGGCTGAGGTGAGAGAATTGCCTGAGCCCATGGGTTTGAGACCAGCCTGGGCAACATGGTGAGACCGCGTCTCTACAATAAATCAAAACATTCGCTGGGCATGGTGATGCGTGCCTGTAGTTCCAGCTACTTGGAAGACTAAGGCAGAAGGATCATCTGAGCCCAGGAGACCGAAGCTGCAGTGGCCGTGAGCAGCATGCCACTGCACTCCAGCCTGGGTGACAGAGTAAGACTCTGACTCAAAAAAAAAAAAAAAAAAATGTTGTGTGAGGACCGGTGTCATCCGAGGCATGGCTTTGCACCACTGTTTTGGCTAATGTCTCACGGTCAGCATTTAGGAGCATTCTACCTCCTGGCTGGGCTTCTTGGCAGCCCCCCTCAGAGATTTCTCCGAACAAAGAGGCCCACAGGTACTGTCCCCACGAGCCTAGGGAGGCAGCTGGTCTGGACCTTACCTGGTCTGCTTGAAATCCTCTGAAGTCCCCTCCTAGGGAGAGAGAGGTGTGTACCATGCTGATGTGTGCCTGGCAGGGAGGAAGCAGGTGCAGACCTGGAGTGCAAGGGCCTTTGGGAAAAGGACTCAGGAAGATAGAGAGGGCTTGGGGAAACCGCCTAGAGCTGCTGGAAGACAGATGCTTGCAGTGCTACTTAGCAGCAGAGCCAGGACCAGAACAGACCTCCTGGGTGGTGGGACCCCCCCACTGGCTTCAGTTTCTGGCCAGATTTTTAAACCAGAATCCAAACTTCTTTCATACCCTCTGTCTCCCTCTCTCTCTCTCTCTCTCTCTCTCTCTCATATACATGATATAACCAGATAATTAATAATTTTCTTGGCCAGAAGAAAGGAAAGGGGGGTCTGGAGTCCATTGTGGAGGATTTTTGCCAGGACTGCAGCCATGGGCCGACAGCAGGCCATGTCTGCTGCCTGCC